GAATGGGTGCCGTCAGAATGAGAGTCCAAACAGCTGATAAAAACATCACAATAATCCACAAGTAATCCACACCACTCCAGTCCACCAGTTAATGTCTTGTGAAGCCATGTTTGCTTGATCTGTGCATATTTCTCACCTAATTCAGACAAGATGACTTTTTCAATGGAGAAAGCAATATTATTGATAGAGGACTCTTAATGATGGAGTAGTTTCTTACAAACATGCAGCTTTTTGCTTTTGTTTGGACTCTCATTCTGACGGCACCCATTCACTGCAGAGGATCCACTGAGAAAGTGTTTTTATGGGGGGGGTCTTGCAAGGGTACTTGTGATCTTACAAGGGTAAATGAAGAAGTGTTGTTTCAATAAGTTTTACATAGTATTTTCTCTACTCTTTACTTCAAATTTGTAACACTCCAAAGAGAAAGGAAAACTTGAAATTGCATCATATGACCCCTTTAAATAGCCTGCATAGCTATTCATCTTCACTTCATTACAGTTTTGGACATTTAAGGTAAAAACATTTTTTTTAAAATACCTTAAAGTAGCTACAAATGAGCATGTAAAGCAAATATCTTTGAAAGTAATTCTGTGTGGAGCATGCCTCCGATCCGCGCAATGTTCTCACCTTTTTTCCCCTTTACCTGTTTGCATCTCTGATATGCAGTATAATGTGTTTTCAGTTCCTGGACTTCCGCTGCGGCCGCTGTGCCGTGGTGTCCAGTTCCGGGCAGATGCTGGGCGGTGCACGGGGTCAGGAGATCGACGGACATGACTGTGTGATCCGGATGAACGCGGCGCCCAGCATCGGATACGAGGCTGATGTGGGGAACAGGACCAGTCTGCGTGTGGTCTCTCACACCAGCGTGCCACACCTGGTACGGCAGCAGGGCTATTTCTTCGGGCGAGAGGCAGAAACTAGATACGTCATTTGGGGCCCTGAGAAAAACATGAGGGAGGATGGAAAGGGGAAAATCTTCAATGCACTAGTGACGCTGGCCAAGAAGTATCCACAATCACATATCTACACCGTCACCAGAGAAAAGGTCCAGTACTGCGACAGCGTCTTTCAAAACGAGACGGGCAAAAACAGGTTAGTCTTCCTCTATTCTATCATCTTTGTTATGTAAAAAAGCAATTGTAAATGTAGTAAATGGATCGCTTTATTATCTCTGGCAGGATGAAATCGGGGGCGTTTCTCAGTACAGGGTTCTTTACCATGATTTTGGCTCTGGAGGTGTGTGACAGTGTTCTGGTTTATGGAATGATTGACGGCTCTTACTGCAGGTGAGTTCAGTTGGTTGAGTTTAGTTTGTTAAGAAAAAACTTAATAAAATTAAGCTTTGCCATAAATTATGGATCCGACATTATATATGTGACTCTGGACCGCAAAACCAGTCATAAGGGTCAAATTTTTTTTTATGTATGGTTTGTTATGATAGGACAATATTTGGCCGAGATGTAACTATTTGAAAATCTGGAATCTGAGGGTGCAAAAAAAATTAAATATTGAGAAAATCGCCTTTAAAGTTGTCCAAATGAAGTTCTTAGCAATGCATATTACTAATTAAAAATTAAGTTTTGATATATTTACGGTAGGAAATATCTTAATGGAACATGATCTTTACTTAATATCCTAAAGATTTTTGGCATAAAAATGTTATGCCAAAGCCAATGTTGGCTATTTCTACAAATATACCCGTGTTACTTATGACTGCTTTTGTGCTCCAGGGTCACATATATAGAATTGCATCTCCTCTGTACAAAAAACAATTTATAGAATTAATGGTCTGTAGAATTTTACACATGTATTTATAGCTCAGTATATTATATAATTAATAGATTCATATTTTGAAGTGAATATTAATTTTGTATATCATGTAATCAACTGATTCATATTTTGAAGTGAATATTCATTTATTTATTAATATAAAAAATATTAATATAATATTTATGTATATAGAGAGAGAGAGAGACTAGAAATAATTTAGAATAATTTAGAGATTTAGAAATAATACATTAATATGAAAAATAATAATACATTTATATTGCATTAATTAAATTAATATAATTAATTAAGTATATTTTGTTATGAATTTAGCATTCTGTGAGCTTGATTTGGACTATGCATATCTATGGACTACAGAATATCTAAACATTTATGCATATATCTAACATATTTACCTGTTTCTTTTGTAAAATGATATTTCTTCACTAACTTCTGTGTTTTGGCATGATTATAGTAACGCCAACCACTCGTTTGTGCCGTACCACTACTACGAGCCGTCACGTCTGGAAGAGTGCCGCATGTACCGCACTCACGAACACGCCAAGAGGGGCGGCCATCGCTTCATCACAGAGAAGCTCATTTACAGCCGCTGGGCATCTCAGGGGAAACTACGCTTTGTTTACCCACCCTGGTCACAGCAGGAACATCAGCAAGACTAGTTTCAACCAGGTCTGACCCTGTGTGAAGTTGTAGGTTGTATGTCAGGTTATGAAAAACCACTGCGGTGCTTTTACTGTGTACCTTCAGCTGTCAGTTTGGTGTTTGAATCATGCTGCTTTGCCTTTGTGTGTTCGGTACAGTTTTATTCCTTCAGTCTTAAAGGGGTCATATGATGCGATTTCAAGTTTTCCTTTCTCTTTGGAGTGTTACAAGCTGATTGTGAATAGATAAGATCCCTAAAGTTGCAAAGACTAAAGTCTCAAACCCAAAGAGATATTCTTTATAAAAGTTAAGACTCGTCCACGGCCTCCTAAAACGTCTCGTTCTAACACGCCCCCACATGTCTACGTCACGATGTGGGAAGATTTGCATAACGCCGGCCAAATGTTTACGCAAATAAAGAAGGCGTAATTTTGATTCTCGCCGTAGTATTGTTGTTGCCGCTGCCGCCATGTCGTGAAGACGCTGTGTGTTTAGTTGTGAAAGCTAAACTACTTTGTTTGGTCTTCCAAAAGAGGACGAAACTACTTTGTTTAGCACAGCCACACACATATACATATATATATAAATACATTCAATATATATATATTATTTAATTTCCATTTTGTATGTTGAAGGACTGAAATAACTCAAATTAAATCAAACTAAAACTTAATAAAAACACCTATATAAAAAAACGAATAAAATGACAACATTACTGCAACTGTAACTAAAACTAAAATAGATAACTAATACAAATCAAAGTACATTAGTTTATCAGTAATCCTAAAAAAATAACACTGAGCCAAACACACATGCTAAAATAACAACAACTTACTGACACATACTAAGAAATGGTTATAAAACACTGAAACAGAAGTGAAACAAGTAGTAGGAAAGAGGAGAAATAAAGAGCGATACTTATCCTTACTTACGGTGTGCTGCCCGGTGAAGTCGCACGGTAGAGTCGATGGTCTTTACACTCTTCGGTCTGCACACGACCGCAGCCGCGGTAAGCTAAGTTTTTTTTTTTATTCGTTTAACAAAACTCAAATTGAATTCAGCTGGACACACTTTCCAGTTTATCACAACAAATGGCCAAGCAAAGCACACGACACTGACAAGGTACGCAAAGGTTACTACACACTGATCTGCTTTAACCACTATAGACTGCTGGTCTGCTGTAAACTCAAGCTTAGAGAGAACTCACTAACAGCATATTCCACTTCCTGTCACACACTGAACTTGCTCAGATCTTGCCGTTTACTTAGCAGATGTTACATTAATCTCTCAAATGATTCATTCTGAAAAATCATACAAAATCACTTCATGTATAATGCATGCCATCTGATCGGTGTAAATACGGCAATATCATATTATATAATCTGTGACATATATGCTCAAAACTTATAATACTACATTTAATCACTGCATTCATTTATGCAGAGTTAGATGTGGTAATATTTTAAGTAATATTAAAAATGTATATTTTTATTCGTTTGAATCCAGCAGAATACAACACCATTTTTTGACACTGATGTTTTTATGATTAACACTGTAATTTTCTAATACTTCTTAGCAAGATGTTTTTTAAGCATTTAACATTCTCATCTCATCGACAAAATTATGTCCATTTCTTCCCAGAAAACTCGGCTTTTCTTTTTACATTTTGCTTTGATTGCACTTTTTATTTGATTATTTTATGTGTGTGTTTCTAGAGAATTTTATCATTCACCACCTAACCCAAGATTTTTACTTAAAAAGGTTTTCTGTACTGTGCTTTTATGATTATAAACATTTATTTTTGTATTTATTCCAAAGGGCAAAATGTTACTGCTGAGCCAAACTCTATTATTTTCTGTATTGCATGCATGTGTTCGCTTAAGATGGTTTTTGGTGCTTATCTTAGCAATGTTTATCTTTTTCATATATTAACCCGAGAGAATCTAACTGCATTTGTAGATTAATATATAATGAGGTCACATTATGGATTAATATCATACGATGATATTTAATATAATGTGTTTTTTTACATTACATTGTGTCTTATTTTTTTAGCTATGTGTTTTTAATTTAAGATATTCTTACACACATAATTTGGTGTAGATTATCTTGCTCTATATCTGAAATTTAAATTGGCAGTTAATAAACTTAGCAGTATTGTAATTTAATGTGTATGTGGTTTGTATTGCCTTTTCTGTCAATTTACTATATATATATGTTTTAGATAAAAATGTTTAGTGTTATTAAAAAAAGTGTCTTCTGCTCATCAAGGCTGCATTTATTTGATCCAAAATACAGAAAAACAACTTCAATATTGTGAAATGTTTTTTTACAATTAAAATAAGTTTCCTATTTGATTACATGTTAAAATGTAATTTATCTCTGTGATCACAGCTGTATTTTCAGTGTCACGTGATCTTCAGAAATCATTCAGATTATCAGTGTTGAGTTTCTCTCTCATCGCGTCCGCAGCGTGTGGGAGCGTTTTGATTGGTCGATTCGGTACTGGCGTCATGAGCGGCTTCAGTAATGTGCGGCGCATGCGCACTCGCTTCTTCGGCGGAGCTGATTATGAGGCGGCGGAGGGATTGATGATGATGATGAAGAAGATGATGCTCGGATTCAACAGCATCCAGAATAAAGCCCTGACGCATCGGTAAGAATCGTCGTCTGCTTGTGTTGTCACGCGCCGTCAATCGGTTTATTCTGCTTTCTCCCGATGATAGCAGCAGCTTACATGAGCATCACACACACATGCTTTATGATGTGTTTTCATCAACGCAGGTGCATAATAATGTGTGTGAAAAATGCATTTTGATTTGCAAGACTGTACATATATTAGTTTATCTCGGGTAAATGGCCTTTGTAGTTTTAAAGAGGCCCTGGAGGTGTGACTTCTTGTATCAGATTTTAATATATATTTGTTGCAGTATGCTGTTCAGACCAAAATATTGGATTTTTCCAACAAATAAATACATATTTAGGCTCTGCTCGTGTCTTAGCTTCATAACCTGATTTATATTTAAAGGAACTGGTGTCAGGTTTCAGTGTCCTGGGTGTTTGTCTCCTGCCAGATTAAATATTAAATTATTTTCTTGTGTGATTGACTGCCGATTGCATGGACAAGCTGTTGTTTTTTTGTGTGTGCATTTGATTCATATTTCTATAAAGCATGGCTTGTGTAAATCCATGGGAAATGGGTTCTTAAAATACCTCTGCATGTGATTTCTGAATATGTTTGAACAGAATTGGTATATAATTGGTGTTACAGGTGTGGGTGTTTTTTGGCACTCTCTCTAGGCATGAGCACTGAACCCTGATAGAAGAGCAGCAGGAGAATGAGACTGCGGGTTGTAGATAAAGTGAGTAGAAAAACCCTTAAAAAATATGTTTCGAAATCATTTACACAACTGGTCCGAAGTTTGGATTAATTCGAATTTTGAAATGCTTTTGAAAGAAGTCTCTTACAATACATTTAGGATTACATTTCAAAATATATTAAAATAGAAAACAGTTGTTTGAAATTGTAATATTTCACAATATTACAGTTTTTACTGTATTTTTTATCAAATAAATACTTTTCAAATTTTTTTTTAATTATAATACACACGCACACACACACACACATATATGTATATATATATATATATATAGAAATAATGTATGTATATTAGACTGTTTCTCCACTTTTTTGTATGTGTATTGTTTGTTCGCGCTTTCCAGATTTAAAACAAATAAAACATTTGCATTTAACTTAAAATTTAACATTCTATCAACACTGTTAGATGCATTTATTATGCCATAAATCTAAAATAAAGTACTCAGCATTCAGTAATCAATATAAAATACCTGCGTGATTTTTGTATTTCAAGGAACATTAAATTTGTATAATATTTAAATACACTCTAATAAAACATATAGCAAAACATACAGATAATGCTCATATAAAAAGCTTAAAAGTGTCTTTTGCATGTGAAATGATCGATGCTAATCTGATTTCCTCCAGTGTTTATGTATGAAGTGACTGTCAGTCATTGGTCGGTAAGCTGATGAGCTCATCTGTGTTTCCTCAGCAGTGGCAGCAGGGGCAGCGGATGGTGATTTATGGGGCGGTCTTCCTCATCATGACCCTCCTCATCCTCTACAGCTCCAACAGCTCAGCTGATCTTTACAGCCCCTTTAAAGTCAACGAGTTTCGCCACGCCGTCAAACACACCAACCTCAAGAAATGGGCCGGGAAGGAGGGATACGCTCCTGTTTACGGCAACAAGGTGCTGCCAAAACTTTTACAAATAATATTTCTAACCCATCCAGTAAAAAAAAAAAAAATTATATATATATATATATATATATTAGTGCTGTCAAACGATTAATCGTGATTAATCGCATCCAAAATAGAAGTTTTTTGTTTATATATGTGTGTGTACTGTTTATTTATTATGTATATATAAATACACACACATGCATGTATATATTTAAGAAAAATATGTTGTTTTTATATTAAATATATTTATATATATAATATAAATTATATAAATATATGCATGTAAATATTTTCTAAATATATACTGTGTGTATTTATATATACACAGTACACACAGATATATTACGCAAACAAAAACTTTTATCTTGGATGCGATTAATCGCAATTAATCAGTTGACAGCACTAATATATATATATATATATAGAGAGAGAGAGAGAGAGAGAGAGAGAGAGAGAGAGAGAGAAGAAAAATATGTTGTTTTTATATTAAATATATTTATATATATAATATAAATTATATAAATATATGCATGTAAATATTTTCTAAATATATACTGTGTGTATTTATATATACACAGTACACACAGATATATTACGCAAACAAAAACTTTTATCTTGGATGCGATTAATCGCAATTAATCAGTTGACAGCACTAATATATATATATATATATAGAGAGAGAGAGAGAGAGAGAGAGAGAGATGCTGTAAATATCACAGCTAAAGTGAATACCAATTTAAAGTTTTTCTTATAAACATTCTTCTTGTAAACCTCCATCTTAAAATATATCTTGGGTGAATGCAAAATGTATTAAAAAAAATAAAATTGTATTCATATACATATGTTTACTTTGAAAATGAATGAAAAATCAATATAAAACGTAAAATAAATAAAAACAAAAACAAAATAAAAGCATTTGTCCAAAAAAAAATGTATTAAGAAATTAAGTACATTAAATATATAATTAATTAAAAACAATGAAAAATAAAAAAATAACAATTTTAAAAAAATTATATTAATTAATTAAATATGTAAATATATTTTAACATCTATATTAGCTTTATTATTTTTGACCAATTTTTGTATATTTTGAAATATATTTAAAAATACATCTGATATATTATTTGCTGAATGGAAAGAAACACTTGAAGCCTTCATTAAATTATGGATTAATAGCTAATTAATCAAATAATTAATGATAATGATTAATAAAAAGAATTGAAATAAATTAGAAAAAAAATAATATATAATAAATATATATATTATTTGCTATATGGCAAAATGCAGTAGAATTTTTAAATGCCGGCTCACGTAAGTTGCTGCATTGTTGTTTCAGAGCATGAGCCTGCACTGCCGTCAGTGTGCGTTAGTGACCAGCTCTAGTCACATGTTGGGGACTCACGCCGGAGACGAGATCGACCGTACAGAGTGTGTCATCCGCATGAACGACGCTCCAACCTCCGGCTACGAATCAGACGTGGGGAACCGGACCAGCGTGCGCGTCGTGGCTCATTCCAGCGTATTCCGTGTGGTTCGCAAACCCGCCGAGTTCCTCAATCGCTCAGAGAGCCATGCCATCATATTCTGGGGCCCGTCGACGAAGATCGGCCGCGACGCGAAGGGAACGCTGTACCGGCTGATCCAGAGAGTCAGTATGACCTACAGTAACCTGTCCTTCTTCTTCATCTCACCCGGCAAAATGCAGAGGTTCGACACGCTCTTTCAGAAAGAGACCGGCCGAGACAGGTAAGCACGTCACTTCCTTTGGGTACTTTAATTTGAACATGTTTATGTATGTATTTTTTTTTTTTTTTCAATGTTATTTTAATTGTTACTATAATATTCAAATGCATCCCACATATTTGTTGTACTTCAAAGATGAATGTACACATAACTTGTTTGTTTACAGGTAAGCTACCTTTTAATTTAGGGCACCATGAAATCGCTTATTTTCCCCAAATTCTTAGTTTTCCCTTTTTTTCTGGATTTTGTGTTTTACGATTTAATACAAAGTTATCTTCAAAAATAGTGTCTAATGAAATTAATTTACAAAACAATTGAATAATTTATAAACAATTGAATCGATCTTTTAAAATGTGATGAAATGAGAACAATTTTTATTTTCATTGTATTCATCAAAAACAGAACTTGTATACTACAAGTTTACTATTATAGTTCTTGTTAATATTTAAATTAGATTTTATTTTTAAATTCTGTTAAATGTTTAGATTTTTTTTAACATTTTTATTAGTTTGAAATAAAATACGTTTATTTTTTTTATATTTCATTTGTTAATGTATTTTATTTATTTTTGTTGTGTTTTGTTTTTAAATTGTATTTTATTTAATAATAAAACCTACTACAGCATGGTTAAATATATATATCGGTTCTATAATATGTATTAAAATAATAATAATAATAATAATGTGGATTTATTTTTTCAATAAATATCAATATTGATTTATCGCCTAGTTCTAAAACAATCAAATACAACTTTCTTGTATTTTTATATATACAATAGAAATAAAAAATAAATATGGAGAAATTATGTAAGCTTAAATATTAAATTATAATAATTAAATATGTAATTATATTTTAACATTTACAAACATCCCTAAATTGTTCTTTATTGTATTGTTCGAACATTGAAATTGCTATATTTTTCACAGAAAAAAGTCTCAGTCCTGGTTAAGCACCGGCTGGTTTACCATGGTCATTGCCATAGAGATGTGCGACAACATAAAGGTTTATGGGATGGTGCCGCCAAACCATTGTGGGTAAGATGAAATCATTTGACCTTCAAAAGGTGCAGTTTCTCTCGAATGTTGATTGGGCAACAGTACATTTCATCATGTCATTATAAAGCATTATTTTCATTATTTTAGTCTAAGAATGTCTCACTAGAATATAGTCCCTGAAATACAGTTTCCTGTAGGAAGCGTCCTCAGCCCAAACGGATGCCCTATCACTATTACAAACCCAGAGGTCCAGACGAGTGTGTGACGTACCTCCAGAACGAGAGGGGGCGCCGCGGATCACACCACCGCTTCATCACTGAGAAACAGGTGTTTGCGCGCTGGGCCAAGCAGTACAACATCAGCTACAGCCACCCGACGTGGTGAGAAACACATCCAACATGCCTGGTGAGTTGGAGCCAACATGGTGGCTTTCTGTACCTCTGTGACCTTCTGATCCAAAATGGCTACCATTTCAAATTGCCTGCTCAGAACGGCTGCTGGTTTCTCTTTGATCTGGATTAGTGACTGAGCCAAAATGGAGGCCATGCAGGGATCCAGGAACAAGCCAAGGGTGGACAAGCTTAGTTTCCCTTAGAAAAATGAACAGATGATGGAACGTTTCTTGTCTCAAGCGTGACGGTACTGCCGTGAAGCTTTCCTAAGCCTTCTCTTACACAGTTTTTCACCCAGAATCGGTCATTTCTCAGAGAACGAAGGCCTTTTGGATGGAGAATGAAAGAGAAATCCTTTATGTCAGTTGCCAAATAGAAGATTCATTCACATCTCGTGGTACAACCAACACATTTGAATGTTAGTCATGTGAAACTACCAGAGAATAGGAATCAGAATTTAACTACTTCACAAGATTAAGAGTATGTTCTATGGTGTAAATAAGAACTATGTCAATTGTTATTCCAAAAAAAAAAATATTTTTACAAGTTTATATAGTTTTAAAATGCCCTAAACAAGACAAATTACAAGAAAATACTAAAAAAATGGTCATTTTAAATCACATCATTTTCAGATAAATAACACATTTTCTGTACTTTTTGGGAAGGTGTTGAAACGGAGAGCTATTTATGCCTTTATACCTTTATGAATGAAGTTATATGAAACCTGACCAAATGTCAGTCAAAGTTCTAGAACATTCTATAATTCCATTTAATATGGCGCTAGAGCTTCACTGAATCATCCTCTACAAGACACGTCCGGGTCATTTTGCGCCACAAAATTAGAAGAGAAATAAAGAAAACCAGGCCTATATTGAACCATTTACGCGTTTTAAAGTATTTAAACATTTCACAGCCGATTTTCATTACTGATATGAAAATACATTTTAATTGTACGGTACATGTACATTAAAGTATACATTATAGTCATATTTGATGCACTAAATGCAATATATGCTTATTTAAAATAAAGTCAGTATATTGTGATTATTATTACTGTATTATCTAATTATGCAGGAGTGTTGTTATTGTTAGCTATATTACAAATCATTTTCATTATTTGAAATGAAGCTGAAAAAAAATTAAAATCTGATAAAAACGTACATTTTAAAAAAACTTTATGAAAGTTTTAAATGTTGCTTTGGCAAATAACCGAAATGAGTTTGTTGAATTCCTTTCGAAAGTGAACCTTTTACATTTTTAATGCTAGATTTTTAAAAATGACTAAAACTGAAATTAAAATAAATTAAATAGAAATATTAAAAAGGCTAATAACATACACAACAAAATTAATCAAACGTAAACTAAAATTAAAACGAAAACTCAAAATATAAAAATAAAAGCCAATTAAAATATTACAAGAAAAACTTAAATGAAAATGAGAAATGTTGCCGTAACTAACTAAAATAAGGTTAAGTACTAAAATGACTAAAACTGAAATAAAAAAATAAAGCCAAACAGAAAATACTTCAACATATAATAACTAAGGACATTTGCAAAACATATTACTGGACCTAAAATAGGCATAATGTTAAAAATAATTTCTTCCTTTTCTTTTGATTATGGGGTGAAATATGACCCGGATATATCATATAACCCAAGACGTAAACGAAATGTACTATTATTCATAACCAACACCAAAAATCACTAACATACTGTGTCGCCGTTTATAATGTGTCGAGGCCTTTCAATTTATTATGACCTTTTTACCAAGTAGTCGTAATGTTATTGATCAGTTGTACAACTTGAATTTCTCTGGCTACAGCTGTTAGTGTATATCACGCTATGACTCGCTTCTGTTTCCAAATGAGTATTTCATATGACTGTTGTAAATGCTCTGCTCTCATTGGACGACGCTGTTTCCGGCACTGTGCTTTCATTGGAGAACTCAAGTTGTCACTGGTAATGGGTAGTGGTAGTCTGGTTAACGTATGTGCTGCTTTGAATGTCTTGCCTTTGATTTGTACAAACCCCATAAATAACACAACTGCTCGGATTCGTTTGCATTAAAGAAATAGTTCACCCAGAAATCTGGACCTAAAATAGGCATAATGTTAAAAATAATTTCTTCCTTTTCTTTTGATTATGGGGTGAAATATGACCCGGATATATCATATAACCCAAGACGTAAACGAAATGTACTATTATTCATAACCAACACCAAAAATCACTAACATACTGTGTCGCCGTTTATAATGTGTCGAGGCCTTTCAATTTATTATGACCTTTTTACCAAGTAGTCGTAATGTTATTGATCAGTTGTACAACTTGAATTTCTCTGGCTACAGCTGTTAGTGTATATCACGCTATGACTCGCTTCTGTTTCCAAATGAGTATTTCATATGACTGTTGTAAATGCTCTGCTCTCATTGGACGACGCTGTTTCGGCACTGTGCTTTCATTGGAGAACTCAAGTTGTCACTGGTAATGGGTAGTGGTAGTCTGGTTAACGTATGTGCTGCTTTGAATGTCTTGCCTTTGATTTGTACAAACCCCATAAATAACACAACTGCTCGGATTCGTTTGCATTAAAGAAATAGTTCACCCAGAAAGGAACAGTTCTGAACAGTTACTCACCCTCAGGCCATCCAAGATGTAGATGAGTTTGTTTCTTCATCAGGTTTGGAGAAATGTAGCATTGCATCACTTTGCATCACTTGCTCACCAGTGGATGCTCTGCAGTGAATGGGTGCCGTCAGAATGAGAGTCCAAACAGCTGATAAAAACATCACAATAATCCACAAGTAATCCACACCTCTCCAGTCCACCAGTTAATGTCTTGAGAAGCCAAAAGCTGTGTGTTTGTAAGAAACAAATCCATAATTAAGATGTTTTTAAAACTTAAACCATTGCTTCTAGCTAAAGCATATACAGTCCATAATCCATAATAACGTTTCCTCCAGTGAAAAAGTCCATCCTGTGTTGTCCTCTCACAGCATAATTGTTTAGAAGTGTTTTGGCTTGTAAACGGTGCTTGATCTGTGCAGATTTCTCTCCTGGTTCTGACAAGATGACATTTCACTGAAAAAGCAATATTATGTATAGAGGACTCATATTTTAGCCAAAAGCAAAGGTTTGAAGTTAAAATGTCTTAATGATGGATTTGTTTCTTGCAAACATGCAGCTTTTTGCTTCACAAGATGTTAACTGATGGACTGGAGTGGTGTGGATTATTGTGATGTTTTTATCAGCTGTTTGGACTCTCATTCTGACGGCACCCATTCACTGCAGAGCATCCACTGCTGAGCAAGTGATGGAATGCTACATTTCTCCAAACCTGATGAAGAAACAAACTCATCCACATCTTGGATGACCTGAGGGTGAGGACATTTTCAGCATATTTTCATTTGTGGGTGAACGTGCATCACCAAATGATGCTCATATCGCCTCTAATCATCAAGTGTCAAAAATCAACAAGCATGAGAAGAACTTATAGTTTTGAATGACATATTTCATTGTAAACATCCCAAGTATTTCTCATTTTCAAGTCCTGCTCGATAATAATCTCAGTTATCACCCATAATGTCGAGTGTTTTTTCTTCATTCATTTCGTTATTTAAAATCGGCCATCTGCCCGAGCACAAGAGCAGAGGGATTGTGGGTAAAAACCATCTGGGGCATTTGTATGAAGATGCTTTAACTCTGGAAGGGTCGCAGACTGAAATCAGTATTATTATGATGATAATTATTACTCATGACTGCAGTGATTTGACAGTATGAGCTGACTGTTTTGCTCATTGTGAATGTTCTTTACATGCCTGTCTGAAAAAATAAACGTATACATTTGAAAACAGACTTGAGTTTCATGATTTGTTTGTTTATAGTTATAAACACGATATGCATGACAGTTTAGTGAGACAAAACTAATATTTCAATACAAAATGATTCACAATAACGTACATTGTTTAGGTCTTGACAGCTGTACTTCCTGTGGTTCTGCAAATGTACTTCCTGTGGTCATCCTTTGAATTGGTCTGGAAACACAGCTGCGATTTTCTGCCTGAGTCCTGATAAACTGATTAATATGGCCTCCTGTATGAAAGAGAAAAACATTTACTTCATTTCAACTGAACAGAATGATAACTATAGCGATTGCCATCCACATCAACACATGATAAGGTCTCGTTTATTACAAGCATATGCCGCAGTTTTTGTCATCTGCCACTTTAAATGCTTACGCTCTGATTCTGACTGACTGTCAATGTTTTTATCATTCATCAGCTGGAAAAAAATGAAAGTGACATTTTTCGTCTGTGTCGTTATAGTAAAATGCACAATATATGCACATAAGTAAAGTATACACCATAGTAGTATTTGTTGCAGCGACTGTTAGTGCCGACTATATATTATGATTTTAATTACTGCATTATCAAGCTGGAGTGTTGTTACTGTTAACAAAAAGTATTTTTTTTTAAATCATTAATTGAAATTGCTGAAATAAAAATATTAGGGGGAAAAAAAAAACTAATGAAAATTAGAAATGTTCCCTTAACTAAGTGAAATAAAAAAAAGTTCAAGTTGAAGTAATAAAATGATGTAAAAAGCTGAAATAAGAAGCCCAAAAAAAATATTTTTTAAAAATCACAAAACTGACAAAAGCACATGACTAAATTTAATACAGCTTAAATTAACAAAATATAAAAGCTCATTCAAAATTGTAATAAATACTGCAATAGTATATAAACAATACTAAAATAACACGTATGCAAAAGGAATGTAATAGGATTTATTGATAGAATTAGAATGAAAAACATCTTTCTGGACCTAAAATGTAAAATATAATTTCTTTTTTTCTTCATTTGTATTTTTCCTTAGATTGACAATTCTTTGTGAGCTTAACCTAACAAATAAACAAAATGTACTAGATTTATAATTGTCATCAACAATCACAAACTTTAGTTGTAGTGTGGACTTTCTATAGTCTTATAGAATTAGAGTGATTTTTTAAAAACTTTATAGTTATAATAATTTCTTTGCTGTGAACAGGCCTTTAAACAAGAAAACATGAACTTTGCCCAAAAAGGATTCTAGGGTAAAAAGATGTCATTTTCACTATAACAAGGTTTTGTTCAAAAGAAAACGTTTCCATATGGACCCCTTGATATAAATGCATGTTCTGTCTCACCTCGGTGCGGATGGTGCGACTGCCCTGCCCCCGACAGGTGTTGAGGTAAAGGTCAAAGAGCACGCTGGGATCAGTGATGTTCAGGTTCTCATCGGCATCAACACTCGCTTCTAAACCCTGAAGACCTCCGAACACCACCAGCATACGCCTGATAGAAAACAACATTGAGCTTTATTTCTCACAGAATATTTAAAGGAATAGTTCACCCAAAAATGAAAACATACTCACCCTCAGGTCATCCAAGATGTAGATGAGTTTGTTTTTTCATCAGATTTGGAAAAATGTAGCATTGCATCACTTGCTCACCAATGGATCCTCTGCAGTGAATGGGTGCCGTCAGAATGAGAATCCAAACAGCTGATAAAAACATCACAATAATCCACAAGTAATCAACACCACTCCAGTCCATCAGTTAATGTCTAGAGAAGCCGAAAGCTGTGTGTCTGTAAGAAACAAATCCATCAAGACATTAAACGGCAAAAATACGATTCCACAATACTGCTTCCTCCATTGAAAAAGTCATCTGGTCTGAATCAGGAGGGAAATCTGCACAGATTAAGCACCGTTTAAAAGCCAAAACAGCTCTAAACAAACACGTGGGTAGATTTTGATGTGAGAGGACAACAGGAGATAGACTTTTTCACTGGAGGAAGCGTTACTATGAATTATGGACTCATATTTTGTCCAGAAGTGATGACTTGAAGTTAAAAAACTCTTAATGATGGATTTGTTTCCTACAAACATGCAGCTTTTGTCTTCTCAAGACATTAACTGGTGGACTGGACTGGATTGGATGACTTGTGGATTATTGTGATGTTTTTATCAGCTGTTTGGACTCTCATTCTGACGGCACCCATTCACTGCAGAGGATCCATTGGTGAGCAAGTGATGCAATGCTACATTTCTCCAAATCTGATGAAGAAACAAACTCATCCACATCTTGGATGGCCTCAGAGTGAGGACATTTTCAGCTATTTTTTTTTATTTTTGGGTGATCTATTGCTTTAAATACATTCATCAGCATTAAAATAAGACATGGACATAAACTTGTGCAAAACTCACTTGAATGGAGGAAGTGTGACGTGATCTACGTTTTTTCCTCTCTCTGATGTACCGATGGTCAGATCATATCCATCTTTATACGGACACTCTGTGAACACAGCACCTACACACACACACACATACACACACATACAGAGAGACAATTTTTAGTTGTACTAGTTGATGGAGAGTAAAGGATGAAACGAGGGGAAATAGATGACTAAATGGGCAGAACTCACTGAGACAGGAAGCCAGACGGACGCTGTAGCCCCAGTACAGCCCACCCTCTGTCCTCGGGACGTGAGGAGCCACAACAACACCTTTATACACCTTGCCCTCTGAAAAACACAGGGTTCAGATATACGTCACAGAAATGTCTGGACAACAGATCTGATGTAATACATCTCTGAAAACCAGTGTTGTTACTGTTAGAGCAAAAAAATAATAATACTGTATGCAGTGTGTGTGTGTACCTTTGTTTTGGCTCTTGTTGAGCTGTACAGTCACTCTCAGTCCAGCTTTTAGCTGTTTATCGATCTGAACTTCCTGTCGACAGAATAGACAGACTGAGATCATGTCCTGTTCAATGAAAGATCAATTAGTTTGTGCGTCTTCAAACACACACCTTCCTCATCCCGCAGTTGACGAAAGACCCTAACCCCGGTTTGCTCGGCTGATTGAGCACCACCCCCTCTCGAAACTCCACCTCCTCATCGATGCGCATGTGATGTGGGCTGTCCAGAGGATTCAACAGACCTTAAAGGAATAATTCACCCAAAAATGAAAATTTGCTGAATATGTCTTCACCCTCAGACTATCCAAGAGGTATATGAGTTTGTTTCTTCATCAGATTTTGAGAAATGTAGCATTCCATCACTTGCTCACCAATGGATGCTCTGCAGTGAATGGGTGCCGACAGAATGAGAGTCCAAACAGCTGATAAAAACATCACAATAATCCACACCACTCCAGTCCATCAGTTAATGTCTTGAGAAGACAAAAGCTGCGTGTTTGTTAGAAACAAATCCATAATTTCAAGGCTATTTTAACTTTAAACTGTTGCTTCTTGCCAAAATACGAGTCCATAATCCATAATATTGCTTCCTTCAGTACAAAAGTCATCTCATCTGAATCAGGAGAGACATATCAAGCACCTTTACAAGCAAAAACACAGTCCAAAACAGCTCTAAACAAATATGTGTGGATTTTGATGTAAGAAACAGGGGATAGACTCGTTATTGGACTCGTATTTTGGCCAGAAGTGACATTTTAAAGTTAAAATTGCCTTGAAATTATGGATTTGTTTCTTACAAACACGCAGCTTTTGGCTTCTCAAGACATTAACTGATGGACTGGAGTGGTGTGGATTATTGCGATGTTTTTATCAGCTGTTTGGACTCTCATTCTGACGGCACCCATTCACTGCAGAGGATCCATTGCTGAGCAAGTGATGCAATGCTACATTTCTCCAAACCTGATGAAGAAACAAACTCATCTACATCTTGGATGACCTGAGAGTGAGGACATTTTCCAGAAATGTTCCTTTTTGGGTGAACTATTCCTTTAAACGCCCAATTAAACTGATTACGCAAACTCTAAAATAAAATCAATATTAGATTCTCATACTCACCAGCAAACTGCAGGTCCTGATGCTTCGGGAAGAAAGATTTCCGCAGATACCTGCACACACAATACATACACAATGCTAAATCTGTTGTCGATGCACACTGATATGATTGAAATGTGATTGTGACGGCACTCACTGTGGACACTCGAGGTATTGCAAGACGCGTGCGAGCTGGACACAGCCCTGGCCTTTCTTACCAATGCCTCTGAAGTCTCCCTCAACGCTCCTGACATATAAAGATAATGTTTTTGAAGTGAGTTCCTGATTATTTCAATAGCCAGCACATAATAATCAGAGACAAAAACTATAAAGTATCAACTTACTTGACGTCCTCCCTCAGCTCATCGAATATGACCACCTCATCCACGCAGAACACAGCGCAGGCCCGGGCGATCTGACCCGCCAGGTACGTGCGAAGCTCTGGTGACTGAGCATTATCCATCACTGAACCGGGCAGAGCCACGCTCAACGTATACAAACGACCTGACAAGACAAATAAGAAAGGTATAGTACTGTACCAGTGTTATTTTAGTATCTTTGATATATTATTATAGACGTGTTATAGTTGTCATTTTGTTGTTTAAAAAAATAAAATGCATATTATATATTTGTATTAATCTAAGTTTTAGTTTGTTTTTGTTTTTTTAAGTGTATCAATATTATTTAATATTATATTTGGCATATTTTCACTAAATGAAAATGAGAAATGTTGGCTTGGCAGAAAACTGAAATAAAATACATTTTTATATTTTATTTCAGTTTTTTTTTTTTTTTTAGTTTTAGTTAACTATAATGTATATCCTGTATAGTACAGTATGTAGTACGGAACAGAGTTTTCAAACCGGGGTCTGTGGAAAAACAGTATAAAAATAAATAAATAAACTAATAAAAATATGATTAAAAAGCATTACAATTAGTGGTCGGCCGATATATCAGCCGATATTTGGCATTTTATAAATATCGGCATCGGCCGATAAGTTTTCCTGTTTGGCCGATGCGTTCGTTATTTTTTTATCTCTTTTTCACTGTCATCGTTAACAGTTCTGTCTAATACGAATAGAAGTCTGTCTAATAATCAGATAGAACGGTTAAACAAAGGAATTCAAATGTATACAAAAAGCATTATAACGATTGCTTTTATATTATTAGTAATAGAAAGGCAAACATTACAATACTTTCTTGTTTGCCGTCAGCATTCAGCAAATATGCATTAATATCATTTAAACACATCTTTGAATGACTAATGAACATTTAATTTCACAAACCTTGGAGAGTTCAGCTTGACTGGAGACGTGCGATCGACAAACTTTAAACTCGTGATTTTAAATTATGCTGCGCTTTATACATTTGCGCACTGCCATATTCATGTCATTTTCACTGTGTGCTGTATGTAAAATGAGTGTTACCTTGGCGTTATTTGAAAAAATATGATTCCCAAAGCACACAAACTTCCCAGAATACTGAGTGCCCTGTTGGTTACGGTGTTTACTTCCTTTTTTACTATATTTTTTATTAAATATTTATATCCATTTTCAAATTTCTTAAATATTAATTAAAATAAATAAATGTATATCGGCCATCAGCCACCCTGCTTTCCAAGATATCGGTATCGGCTGTCAAAAAACCAATATCGGTCGACCACTAATTACAATGATTAAATCATTTTGAAAATGAAATTAATAAATACATACATAACCATGCAATACTATAGTGAGTAGCAAAACCTAAGAATGTAACATTTATATATTATTATTATTTTGAAATGCATGAAACTATAGTTGCCTTTTAAATTTCGGATGGAGGTCCCTCGCACAAGGACGGTCATATTTGGGAGTTTATGGTTTCTAAAAGATTGAAAACCCCTAGTACAGTAAAGTGAGATGTACACGGTCTAGTACACTTACTGCATGAATAAACCAAAGCTCTGATCTCTGCAGTGCTGCTCACCTTTACTTTCCCGCTGTTCCTGCTGAACCTGCTGCTCATTTTCCTCCCGTTTCTTCTGCTGCTGTTTCTCCAGCTGCTGGATGAGTTTGCTCTCTTTGCGTTGTCTCTTCTCTTCTTTCTCTAGGGATGAAAGTGCAGACAGCAGCAATGAATTCAGCATTCCAATACTACACTGATATACGAATTTCTGAGGCCTCTAAATGATCAAAACCCGTCGCACACCTTCAGCTCGTGTTTCTGCTGTGAAATCTTTACTGATTTTTATGAAGAAGTAAACATGAGAATAACTTTGATATTGTTAGTAGTATTTCAAGATGAACACTTACTCGACTGAGGTTGATGATGCTTTTTTTTCTTCTTTTTTTTTTTTAAAATCATGTTGAAATGTGAGTATCAAATATGATAATCAGTCTTTTGAGGAACGTTTATCTCTCAGTCATCACTGTATTGCATCGCATTATTTGTTTTGATCATAAAATAAGCATTTAAATAACACAAGACATAACAGTAAGACATATTATTGGGAAATAAAGAGTGACAGCTGATATCTATATGCCATTTATGTGAGTTATACAGTAATGCTTTGATTTACATCACATGCGATCAGAATTGAATCTTAAATGTAGAACATTTTTAACAACATTTGAACTAATTTAACATTTGAACTTTCACTTACTTTGTTCTTTCCATTTCCTCCAGTTTATTCTCTCTTCGCCCTGCAAACACGTGATATTAAACTGGCATAAACAGAGTTTTTTTTACAGATTTAGACCATGAATGTGGCACAAAACCACCTGATAATGTAGATCATTTTTACAATTTCAAATGTATAACGAACACAGTAATATGAAAAACACAAACCTTATTATTTGAGAGATGATTTGTTTTATTTTTCTTCACTGGAGGTTCATCGGCCATGCTGTTCTGTGCGTGTTACACCTACAGTGATCCTCGAGAGAACAAACACTCGAAATATTTAGTTCCTACTGTTTTTCGCAAACACTGAATCAATTGTTATTTATTTAAGTCCTACATTAACAAATATATACTTCATATATATTTATTTTCAGAAAATGTATCAATAATTAATACTCAAAACAGGCGAGGTTTTGCGGTAATGCTTTGATTTACATCACATGCGATCAGAATTGAATCTTAAATGTAGAACATTTTTAACAACATTTGAACTAATTTAACATTTGAACTTTCACTTACTTTGTTCTTTCCATTTCCTCCAGTTTATTCTCTCTTCGCCCTGCAAACACGTGATATTAAACTGGCATAAACAGAGTTTTTTTTACAGATTTAGACCATGAATGTGGCACAAAACCGCCTGATAATGTAGATCATTTTTACAATTTCAAATGTATAACGAACACAGTAATATGAAAAACACAAACCTTATTATTTGAGAGATGATTTGTTTTACTTTTCTTCACTGGAGGTTCATCGGCCATGCTGTTCTGTGCGTGTTACACCTACAGTGATCCTCGAGAGAACAAACACTCGAAATATTTAGTTCCTACTGTTTTTCGCAAACGCTGAATCAATTGTTATTTATTTAAGTCCTACATTAACAAACATATACTTCATATATATTTATTTTCAGAAAATGTATCAATAATTAATACTCAAAACAGGCGAGGTTTTGCGATCGATTTATCGGCCAACATATCGGTTATCGGCTTTCAAAAATAAAGAATAATCGGTTATCGGTATCGGCCAAAATTTTCATATCGGTGCATCCCTAAAAAAAAAATCTTCTCTACAAAATAAACATAATATTGTGTGTGTATATCATTTTTAATATTATATATTTATTTATATTGTATCTATAATGTTTCATATTAGGTAAACGTAACAGTGTAATTATATATGTAATATATATTTATTATAACGTAGAATATAATAATACTGTAAATAAATACACATGCATATGTGTATAAATATTTTTATTTTCTGGTTTAATTTTAGTTGTTGTAAATGTGTTGTGTGTGTGTGTTTGACATTTTTAACAGTTTATGTTTATTTAAATATGTCTACATGGTTTTTATTCATTTTTATTTGAGTTTTATGTTTAGTTATTTTAGTACATCAGGTTAAACCAAATAAAAATGAGAAATGTTGCTTTGGCAAATAACTCAAATCAAATAAGTTTGTGTATATTTTATTCCACTTAACAATCATTTTATTTCAAGTAGCATAGATGTTTTTTTTAATTGATTTGAGTTAGTTGTGATTTTAGTTTAGTTAACTACAATAACTAAAACTATTTTATTATACTATATAATTAGGGTTGCAAAAAGGTGGAACATTTCCAGTAAATTTCGGAAACATTCCAGGATTTTTTTGGGAATATTACAGGGATTTTTGGAAAGTTTCTGGAAATTTTCCACCTCTTTGCAACCCTATATATAATGCCATATAATATATAATACCTTAGTTAAATTATGCAAGACCTATGACTCATTACTGTGAATGTGGTGGTTATAATATTTGTTTTTCATTCAGTGTTGTTATTACAAACCCCAGTGAGTCACATGTTATCTTTATATGTTTATACCACTGTTTGTTTGCACTTTGGTTTGTGATGCGTAACACTTGTTGCATACAGTCATATTTCCCATGACTACCTCTGCATTCAATATAGCTGAATATAGTGAGCTCCGCAAGTTCAGTTCTGCTCATACTGGTGTAGTTTTATATTTGGGTAAACAATGATTTAGCAATGACTGTAATTTGAGAATATGTTACAGAATATTGAGTTTCCAGTTGTGGTTGAACTAGTTTTAAAATGACCCTGTGTCTGTGTCCAGCCGCAGAACGAGCACATCGAGTTACACCGCAAGCGGCATGGCTACCGTCTGGACCACCACGAGAGGAAGAGGAAGAAGGAGAGCCGTGAGGTGCACGAGCGATCGCACAAAGCCAGAAAGATGATCGGCCTCAAAGCCAAACTCTACCACAAACAGAGACACGCCGAGAAGATCCAGATGAAGAAGACGTGAGCGTTACTTACAGTCAGCTTTACTGCAGTTAGAATATAGACAGCAGTGATCAAGGAGGTTTCGCTCAACTATTGTGTGTTTATTTGTGTTCAGCATTAAGATGCACGAGCAGAGGAAGAGCAAACAGAAGGATGATGACAAGACACCGGAAGGGGCGGTGCCAGCTTACCTGCTGGACAGAGAGGGCCAATCACGCGCCAAAGTCCTGTCCAACATGATCAAACAGAAGCGGAAAGAGAAAGCTGTAAGCATCGATTTATGCTATCACACTAAACATTTCAAACCTTGCTAGTGCTGGGCGGTATACCGGCTCATACCGAATACCGGTGTTTATTTTTCTTATGATATGAATTTTAAAATACAGCAATACCGGTTTCGTTTAAATAATGTTCGGAACGCGTTTGGGGGGGGGGGTCTCTATTCACTGTTGCACTGTGGTGAGGGAACAGCTGTATGTGTTACTAAGCATGAAAGTTCTGAAACTGAAGCTGTAGAACTAATAGAACGTGATGACACAGAAGAACTCATCCACAATATCCACATTGACCGCCACAAATATCCACCGCCCCCTGCCATCAGCTCCCGCGTCTCACACACACACACGAGCGTGACTTTAGCACTAGATTTAGCAACTTTCAGACGCTTTTAGCTGCTTTTTCCTGTAGAATATATATACTGACAATCCTAGCGACTTTTTTGGATAAACCTTAGCTATGATTCAGTTGGAAGATTTCGCCAGTGCTGTCCCGCGAACGTGAGGTCTGACTTTCCCGGCGCAGTGTCGTCTCTCTCGGCGTCTGTTCTGTGCAGTGAGTGGCTCGTCAATAAATGAG